AAGAGGGTGGATCTTAGTGTTGTCATTTTTCCAAATTGTATTTTTATGGATTTTTGAAAGACATCCCCACTTTTCTTTGTAAACGTTGATGTATTTTACTCTTTCAAACATGCTAGTCTTTTTTATTTATTTGATTTTTGGGCCAATTTTAATCTCAATTACACTTCCATATGACAATTTTTTTTTTTTAAACCATGAAGGTTTATATTCGTAAATACGCTGGAATCTTACATTGCTGTAATTTTATTTCAAGTTTTATTTTTGTCTGTTTTCCCAGTCCCAATTTTCTTTGTTACATTTATTTTGATCTTGTTTGCAATTGTTTCAACTCAGTTTCTCCTGGTATGATAATCCTAATAATTACGTTTATCTTTTTTTTTCTCGAGGGCTATTTACTTTTCAACACGCCCTAATAACATGCATACTAAATCTATAATCCAAACTCGCCACCGCACAATACACAGCATGAATTGAACACGCCCCCATCACCAGCACCACCCGGGAAGTTTTTGTTGTTTGTTTGAGGCCGGCGACTCCATACAAGAAAAAGTCATTAAGCAATAATGACATTTCAATGACAGCGGATCAGCGGGCCAACAATGGAATGTGTCTCATTAAGATCTGCATCATTTTTTTTTTCATCGGGAGGGGAAAAAGGAGCAGCATGGATGCAAATGAAGTTGCAGTTCACGCACGCTCTACTGTTCTCTAAAGTGCTCGCTGTAGTTGAAGGGAGCAGGTGGGGAAAAAAAAAGAAAGAAAAATAATATCTATATTTTTCCCCCCACGGCTCATTTGGTGCGAGAAAAGCCAGCATGTCATCATCACCTCTTTAGTTCACTAAGCGTGGTGCTCGTGTTAATTTGATTTATTCACTTATTCCAGCCTCAGCCGTTGCGATCGAAAGCGCTCACGCGCGCGCACAAACACACACACACACACACACACACACACACACACACACACACACACACCAGGAAAATTGGTTAATAACGTGTGACCACCCACTACGTCATCAAGACGTGTTATGAGTCACTGATGCACCAAATAAAGAATTACACGTAGATAACATGAAATACATTTCAATAGAAGGAATACGGGTGATTTGATTTCAAGAGGGGTAGGGTACCTTTAAAATATTGCAAAATGTCATTTCCTCAGCAACATGCCTCATTTTTGCCCCCCCCCCCACAAAAAAAACTACTATCGAATACTGGGATTCAGAAAGTCATGATAGAAAAATAACACTTGGATTCACAAATAAAGTCTTATTTGCCCCCAAAATATGAAAATCCATTGTGAGAGAGAGAGAGAGAGAGAGAGAGAGAGAGAGAGAGAGAGAGAGAGATATCAAGGGCTACTAGTGCCTTCTTGTTGGGCCTAGTAGCGCTGCTACTACAGTAGTTTAATTTAATCATGTACTACAAGACAAAAACAGTGGCACTACTAGTGCTCAAACATTACTTGTTAAGACAGTAATTTCCTACTACATATGAGTCATTCTCGTACAGCACTGAGTATTGCGGGGAGGAAAAAAGTTTACTCGTGCATGGATCTTAAATTGGGCATTAGGGTTTACGAGTGCGCTTTAATTGGGTACTAGTAGGCTAATTGTACTCGAGTAGATGTGGAAAGAAAATAAAAACACCACTACAACAGACAGTCATTCTACAAAGTAGTGCGCTGAATAGTCTTACTTGTGGGGGCAAAGAGTGTACTAGTACATGGACCTTAAGATGGATATCAAGGACATGCGAAAATAAATAGAATGAATATAAATATATCAGGTGCACAGTGTGCTAATAAAAAGGTGCTGCTGGTGTAATGAGGCTAAAAAGCAGACGAGAGGACATCAGCGTAGGCATTCCTTCATGATTATTTTTGCTCCTCAAGGTCTTTTCCGAGACAATTGGCTGTAGCCAGATTAGGAGAAAGGCTCGCATTCAAACATTTGCTAGATGGCGCGTTAAATGGAAAAATAAAACATTGAAATGACACGGCTGCAGAGGATTGGCTGGCGATGAGGCAGAAATTGAGTCGCGATGTGCTTGTGCTTCCGAGGCCCCGAGTTGCACTCTCGTTTTCCAAACAATGAGGCACCTTTTTGTGTTTGTGCACGGGGGCGCAATCCATAATTCCACTTTACGGGTCTTTCGAAAGTCAAGCATAAGACTTTCGTGGAATGTTTCACTGGACCTTGGGTACAGGACTTAAAAAAAAAAATCATGTTGTGCTTTTTTTTCTTGAGCTTTTTACACAAAAAAGAAACAGCAGCTCCGACACGTCAGAGAAGAACATGACATGAGGAGAATATAAACCATATGCCGTAATGGGTGGGTGGGGATCTTCAAGATACTGACAACTGTCTGCCTTCCCACCACATTTGCACAGTTTTTTTGCAGACATTGCACCTGTTGGCCTTTGGAGGCCTTTGAGAGCAAATCTCAAAACAGTTAGAGTCCATGAAATAATAAATGCGTACTCGTGGGGGACTTTGAAATAGTCCCGTGAACTGTCTGTGTTTCCACCGTTGGTCATGAGGGATCGTAAAACACCGTAAGAGCCCATGTGAGGTATTTGTGTATTTTACACCGGTTCCCGCATAAAGTTACACCTGTTATGGTCAAACTGTATCAACTGACTAGCCAGAGCATTGCTCTTCCCGGTGTGGCAACCCTGGCCACCTGGGGGCAGTATAACACAGGGATACGTACATACTGTTCATTTTAGACACATCAACTCGTCTCAGCTTATCAGTGTGGCACTAACATGAGTTGATCTTCGCAAAGGATAAAGAATATATGACTGTGAGTACAGTTGTATTGTCTGTATACACATTTGCTGCACCACCATGACTTCTGAGTTTTTCATTTTAGCAAATTTATTATGATAGGTGGCGTTTGTTTTTCACAATCACAACCGGCACCAGATGCAATCTGATGAAAAAAAAAAATGATGAGCATCCACAGGATTTAAAGTGAAAGCAAGCAAGTGTCTGCCAGTGAATGACACTATCAAGCACCTCTCGACGACAATCAGTTTCAAAACCATTACGGACTAATTACGCCGCTCATTATTTCCTGTGTATCTTTTGAATCGTTGCCATGTTCACTTTCTCCCCCAAAACAAAAGGAACTTTCTGCCTTTTTTTTTTTACGCTTCTTGTTTGGAAGAAAGTGCCAAGTCGGCATTTTCTCCTGTGGCCTCAGGCAAAGCAGCCCTTCTTTTGTTTTAGCCCATAATTGAGATCCCACTAATCTCGCCTCATTTTTTATTAAAAAAAAATTAAACGGAGTCTTTGTCAAATTCATTAGTTTAAGATAATATTGTCAAAATGCACAATTAATGTGCAGTGCAACTTTAATTCATTAATTAAGCGCAGCTTTTGGGGGGTGGGGGGGGGCGAGCTTGATTAATGCCACTCCGTTGTTATCTGCACTCTCCTCTAAAATGATGATGTGATGTTTTCCACTCAGATTGCGGGACAATGTTGGCCTTTTGGGGAACTCCAAACTGGGTTAGCTTGTTAATTAAAGGGGATAATTTATGAACACACCCCCACACCCTAATAAAGAAACAAACAAGCTTTATAAATCACATTGTGCCGTGATGTGAAATGGAGCCGAAATGACAAACGTGTGTTGCATGCCAGCCAAGGCTCTTGATGAAGCCGATAGCGCTCATCCATTTTGGCCCCAGTCAAAGTCTCATTAAAAAAGGGAGGTCTAATTTAATTAAGAGTTAGCCATCGCCCTCTAAACATATTAATTACCTTGAGCGTGGCGAGATGAGCGCGCCGATTATGGCACATTTCATTAGAGCTTAGCGGCTTGTGGGAGGTGTGCCGTGTTGACATGATAATGGATGGCCTGGAAGGAAACTGGTCACCTTGCGCCCGCTTGAGCCGCAAAAGGTGAGCTGGAGGACGACACGGGTGCCCGAGAATGTCCCAGATGTTGGATTTGAACTTAAAAGTGGAAGTCGAGTCCAAAATGTTCTTTGCGATAATATGTTCCATGTGCCACACTTGTCTAAACGCGGTATTCATATGAATATGTTTGTGGGATAAGAATGAAGGAAAATACATTTTCAGCCATCAAAGGAGGCTGATACTTTATGCAGCACCACCCCCTGCCATCGACAGAAATTGACGTCAAAGTGCCCATGGGTACACATTGAGAGCATCATGTGATCAAACCCAGAAACAGGCGAGGCATTACATTTGCAATGTCAGCCCGAGGGAGAAGAAAAAAAAAGGTCCCATTTTAAATACTGTTACAAAACAACAGTGGTGTGGAACAACACATAAATACTTCGTATTTACATTGAAACAGTTCCAAAAAGACAAAGCTTGAACATGTGCATGTGCTAAAACACAGCTAAAAGCTGCTTTTATAGGTGAAAACCTTCCGCATCAAGTCATCGAGGCACACAACAACAATGTTTGGTGTAAATATCAAGATAAATATCATAAAATATACACAATATACCCTATGCATCAATCTAAATGAACACAATCTTACTCGTGTTCAAAAAAAATACAAAAATAAACACAAAGATGGCAGTAACATGGTGGAACACATTTGAGCACTGTATACTGTATATTGGTTTTCAATGTTCAAAAATTCAAAGAATCTAAATTAGTGACACATTCGTTGCAAACAACATAATTGTGTTATTGTTTAAAAAAAAATCTCCAGGTTCAACCATTTAATTTGTCTCGCCCTGATATGCTCCAACCACTGTTTCAAACTATTTTATTTGAACGCTGCCATGTTTCCATCTGTTTTGATGCTATAAGTGAATTACTGAAATCTTGCGTCACACTTTCCAGTCTGATCACTTCCCCAAATTAACAGGCGCCATCATCGTGTTTCCTTCCATAGAAAGCGGCAAAGTAAAGAAAACCAAACTCCCCTCGCCCGAAATGCACCCCCGCCCTTTTTTTTTTTTTTTTTTACTTCTCCTCCCCCTGCAGCTAGAAAAGTGAGCCCACTCACCAAGCAGTGACTGGTTGCCTGTCAGCTGCCTATCCCGCTGTTAGGACACACCTTCCAGGACCGGAAGAAAAAAGCGGAGGCATCCACAGCCCACCAGGCCGACCAGGCGGCGGGTTACCGCCGCCCGCCGCCGTCGTCGTCGTGGCAGCTTCTGGGTCTGCAGGGAGAAGAAGAGAAGAGGCGTCAGGTCCCCGCACTGGTGTGCAGCTGAGCCCCTGCCGCCGCTTTGGGAACCATCTCATTCAGTCAAGATTGCTTCATACAAAAGTTGACAATGCACCAGTCAAGGCCATTGTTGACATTCAACATTTTTTTAAATAGCTGAACAGAATAGACAACATGGCAGCCTGTAAAACTTGGCCAGGGGAAAGTGACCCGGAGCTTGCCGAGGCTCGGCCGGCAGCGCGTGAAAAGAGCTCTATGGTGTTCCTCCACGTATTAAAAAAAAAATAATAAAATTGTAAAAGGGCTCGAAAAATAACGTGTTAGTCATTTTTGTCATTCGTGTTTTAGTCTAGGACTGACATTCACACAGACATTTCCAGTTTCCCAATAAATGCATTTTACCGTCTTCAAACTTATCATGACCGTTTCAAAGCCAATTAGCAACCTTTATTGATGAAAGTCGGTACTGCAGTCATACAGCGTCACAAAGCTTTTTAATTTTTTAGAATTTTTTTTAAACTTTAGAAGACATGCTGAGTTTGGGAACTTGATGCACTTTTGGTTACAATTTTCAAACCGGGATGTCTATTTTCCCCTGGTTCAAAAAAAAAAAATTTAAAAAGGACAATTTAAAAATTCTCCAAATTTGAAAAGTTGTTTAATCAACATATTCTAAGGCTTTTTTTTTTTTTACATCTTCATGCCAATATTTTCCCTCTATGCTACAAATGAATGTCCTGGAGTACTATTAATCGTATTGGTATTGGCCTTGGAAAAAATAAAACCAAAAAAAAAAACATCTTAGCCTATCTCTAGAGACGGTTATGTGAAGTTGGTGGCGTCTGCAATAAAACTCCAGCCTGTACCCAAACACCAGTGCAAACATTCTCGCCAGCTGGACGGTTGGCGGAAACAAGAGACACGAGGCAGCCTTGAAGTTGGAGATGTATAATTATGACGATTGGGCAGAAATTACATCTGCGGGAAAGGAAGGCCGGCCTGGCATAATCTCATAGGTGTGTCAGCACTTGGCTGAGGAACGGGAGGGGGGAATGTGGATGTGCGTGTGTGCGTGTGTGTGTGTGGGGGGGGGGGGGCAAAATACACCTGAGGCGTTCTTCTTGGAAACCCAACATGGGCGCCACCCATCACATGCCATTAGCCGCCATCAAAGCTCTAATTTTACTCTAGCATTACACACCACTACCTGCACCCCCCCCCACCCCTCCTCGTCCCTTCGCTCTTGAACCACCTCCTACCACCCCTCGTATTTCCATTCCTCCTCCTTGGTAGAGCCTGGTGGGAAAACGACATTCAATCCTATTCAGGACCAATCAGCAAATGACAGCTCTCTGCCACTCAGATTTCCGGAAAGGAAGAAAAAAAAAAGTGCTTTCGTCCTTCTTGAACTCGAGCCTCTCAAGCATTTACATGACCAAGATTTACGTAATCCGTGTTGCACTCATTTTGAGTCACTGACCCGATTCCTGTGAGTGGCTACCAGTTTGATACACAAATGACCAATTTGCTTGAATGGCACGTTATTACAGACAATTGATGATGCTAATATTTGTATTTTTTGCACTGATTCCGAATCTGACCTCGTTTTTCACACATCACATTTTCATAATGATGATGACAAGCATACAAGATGTAATTTGAGTAAAATATTTTGGAATATTCATGAATCCACCAACAGGTGGATTTTTTTTCTTTTTCTGAAACGTCAAAGCTATAAATTACAACATAGGGTCAATCCATGTTGCATAAGCTTTTATAGGTCAAGGTTAAAAACAGAAAATGAAAAATATGTCAAAAACTTGATGCAAAAGTATATACATTTAGGGAGGCAAAACGCCATAAATCACAAATTCCTAGGAAATCACAATGCCCTGTCGTGGTGACCCATTTATGAAATTTCCTCGACTATTGTTGAAGCTCGATTTAGACCTTTGCTTTCCCTCAAGTTGGTAAATTAACATGTTTATTTATTTCTATTTCAGTAGTTTCAATTATTTATTGTAAATAATGTCAATAGTTGTACATAATTGCTTATTTTATTGTAATTCAATGAATACAAATAAAAAAGACATGTTTCTGTTTTAATAATTAGTGTACATTATTTTTCATAAATGACCAAAAACATTCAAAAAAAAAAAATCAGATTGTCTTCATCAAACTAAATAATGGGGTCATTAATTTCTAATTCCATTAATTATAAACAGCAATGATTACTTAATTTAAAAATAGCATGTTTTGATGTGATCATTATAATTGTGAACATACAGTACAAAAAAACTTATTTTTAATTTAAAAAAATAATGTGATTCGACATTGTAACTTTTTCTTATTACATTTTCACGCAGGCCATGTTTAATTAAATTTTTTTGGGCTCATAAAAAAGGTGCAGCGAACCACAAATGGTCCCCGGACCTGAATTTGTACACCCTGGCATAATGTTTAGTACCCATCTTCGAAAATATTCAGGATCTTAGGCTTTCAGGTGAGATTCGGGATGCACCTAAAATGCACTAGAACCTTCACGGGTGAACATCATTTGACCCCTTCAACTTTTTGCTCAACGTTTTCAGTTTTAGCTGCTATCCACAAGGAAAATTTAATCCATGAAAATTTGCAGGGACCACCACTTCTCTGCCTTTCAGTGACTCTTCCCATGTCCCTATTGCAACCAAAAGGTTCCAGTGCATTTTGGGTTCATGGTAAAATTTTCCTCAACTATCCCTAAGTTTTCTGTTTCCAAAAGTGTGTAGAATGTTGCCACGCACCGTCGATCGGGAAGAAACACGGAGCATATTGCGTTAACCAGCCACGCGATTTGAATGCTACTCTTCGCGCTAATTAAGCGCTAATGGTGTTCCTCCCCTGCGGAGAATGCTAATTAATGTTCCATTCTTCGGTGGGAGCTGAGCGCCTACTCCACGTCGGCCTAATGAGGGGGAGCCAGGTACGTCTTCTCTCGGGGTGGGTTAATAAGCGACCCACAGCTTAAAAAAAAACGGCTGGGAGATAAGAGTTGGGGAGGGTGCTGGGGTGGGCTGCTTACTGTTCCTTAATCCGAAGAGACCCCCCCCCAGAACACTTACAATGGGACAAGGAGCTAAAAAAAAAAAAAAAAAAAAGGCTCGGCTGAATGCCTGCATGGATGCCACCAAGGAGGCGGCTCAGGTGTTCATGAACAACATTGAGATGTGAATTTTGGCACCGAGTACTGCAAAGACAAGAACATAGCTCATCCAAAATTAGTCATTTTGAGTAAATGGAAAGTGTGCATGGAAGCTAAAGAGCCGAGGCTGGACTGAAGGGCTCACGTTGGCTCACACTGCCCCCCGCCCCCTGCCTAAACAGAGAAAAAGACTTCCCAAAACCAAACACCTTCATGGCTGACAGGTTTCTTTCTGTACGGATACATTGCATCGATCCATTGTAAACAAAAGAGGCATGCGCAAATGTACCCAACCTAAATAGTTTGAATCACTTTTGTTAAAAAATAAATAAATAAATAAATTCCCCAAAAATTCTGCACGGCTCCCGCAGAGTGAGGGAAGAGGCCACGTTTTATGACACATTTCAAACAGTGCATGTGACCTCTGGCTCTTATCAACACTTTAAATGTGTTAATAATGCATAAAAATAAGAGCTGACATGGGTGACAACCAAAATTACTGATTACTGAAGCAATTGTGAAACTGACCATATTTGGACATACTGTACAGGATTTCTGCCCAGCAGCGACATGCAACTCAATTTTGAGCTTTATGGCTAAGGCTGTGATGAACACTTTTATACAAGGTGATTTCAATTTTCTTTTAATTTTATTCTGAATACATTTGAAAAAGTTTCTGAAAATCTTTTTACGTTGTTATTATTGATTGTATAATGTACAACCTAATAAATTTTATTGTGGCAATTTTTTTTCGTATAGATGTCCTAATTTTCCACTCATCCGCTCCTTTTTGTACAATAAAATAAAATAAAATAAAACACAAGACGTGATGTTTCATTTCATGGCATAGAAGGATGTTAAGCCAAGGTTGCCCTAACTTGTGTTTCCGAGCAAACTGGGTGGTTTATTATTGCTATGAGTTGTTCATGAAAGCTTGCATTGTAAAATACGCCTCGTTGCTTGTTGAGCCCTCTTTACACAGTCAGACAGAAAGTTCTGAGCAGATTTTTTTTTTCTCCACACTTTTATGAAGTTAGTTATTCGCTATAAAAATGCTTTTTTTGTTAATTCTTTTGGGTTCCTGGTACAAATTCATTGTAATTGCATTATTTCCTTTGGGAAATATCGCTTTGGATTTTGTATCTTGTCTTACTATTGTATTTGATAACTGCGTAGAGGTGGCTTGAACCCGATGTTGGTAATTTTGCAGATATCTGTGAGCGGGAGGGGTGCGCCATTGTGGGAGTGCCACAGCCAACTTCAATGTTCATTCCCTTCAAACATAGCAAACTTGTTGCACGCTAGAGTCTCAAAGGTGAGAAGCACACTTGGATCAGTCGGCATTTGCGCCCTGGGTGCAGATGCAGATGCACTTTTTACGAAAATAGGGCCCAAAATCAAGAAAAGGCAATGAGGTAGACTCGCTAGATAAAGAAATATTACATCTTGAAAGAATTCCGCTTCCACACCGAGTTCGTCCCCATCTGGAAAAACGCTGACATCCTTCATTGACAAACTTATTTCCTATATCATTTCCTTGCTGTGTGGCGCCCATTGCCCCCCTCCCCCCACCATCCCTTGCCTGGTGGTGAAAAGTAAATAAATTAATAAGCTGTTTGAATGCAGGGAGGCCCTGAGAATCCGATTCAAAGATGTTGAAGAATGAATGCCCCGTGCGAGGATGCGGTAGCGGCGTAAACACAGATTGAGGCGCCTATTGGAATTACCAAGGGTGAGATAATGGCCGCCGCATTAGATTAACTTTCAGCTCTTAAATGCAACACATTTAGGCAATCTTGTCCCCCGCCCCACCCCTTCCGAAAAACATGTCGCTGTGTGAAAAGGCCTCCCTCTCGCTATCAGGAGGCGCGCGCCCCCCCTGCGCGCAGATGCAGCTGGCA